TTGTGTAGTTAATATAAATAACATGGAGGGAAACTAGTGTTGGCACTCTACATATAAACCGGCCAACATACCCAAAACCCAAAAAAAAAAGTTTCTCGATGATGAACGAAAATTTATTCATCATTTGAAAGTACTTCAATGAAAAATAAAATTTATTTGTCATTCGAAATTGTTTAAATTATGAATTAAAACTTATTTTTTTCATTCAGTTATTAATTTTCCTGATTATGCCCATACCGGCATGAGATGTTTATGCGCTTACACGCAAATTTACTTTCATTGATGTATCATATCGTCGTTTAAAGTACAAAACCGCGTATCAACAAAATGCAAAACCGCGTATCGAAAGAATGCAAAACCGCGTATGCAAGGTTACATAAATTATTTTTAAGAGAGTAAAAACACTCACAGTTTTGCCGTTTTGGTTACTTTTAACCAATTTTGGTTATTTTTTTCTTGCCTGTGAAGTTGTTAAGATCTTTCCCGTTTTGGTTATTTTTTAATATTTACTGTAGTTTTTAATTGACATAGGCCAGCTACACCTGTCGAGGTTGAGGAGAGTAGCAACAGCAGTGGCAGCCCCAGCAGTGAAACCAAGTAAGAATATTTGGAATGAATGTATTATTACTACTTACATATGTATGTATGTATTTGTTTTATAATATATGTACAGAATACATAATATACATGGTCGGCTAGACTACTTCAAATGAATACATACTTAGACAGTACATATATAAATACCTCGTATATGCGGAATCCAATACTACGTCATGTATGTACAATAAAAAGGATTTGTTTATTCTCTTCCCATTACTGTTTACTTTATTAATTTAAGTTAAGATTAATAATAATAATCTTATAGCAAGTAGGTTCAGTGCAAATACCATTCCACAGTTAAAAAAAAATCGGTTTTTTGCGCATTTGTAAAATTTATTTACCATCGTATACGCGGTACTACGTTTGGCGTATGCGAGGTATTTCGCTCTGAGCGACGATATAGTTAAATAAGTCCAATTTTTAATTGTTTAGTCTTAATCTTAAAATATATACAATGTGGTTGTTCACGCTGATTAGGTATATCATTGATTCTTACAAAGAAGTTGGAAACTATGTACCTTTGTACTTAATTAAAAACGTCATTTAGAGTCTGGTAATGTTTACGAAGATATTAACATTCATTCATATGCATCTAATACGGGAAGACTGATATTCTAAAATATGTATTTACATAATTACAGCTTTAAAAGTATTTACTTTTCAAAAATGCAAATAAAAATTGATTTTCTGAATTATTAATCTAATAAAAAAGTTGGTTATTTTTCCTTACATTTGGTAACTTTTTCGTCTAATCTTGGTTAGAAAGTTCTTTGAGCGGCGGCAACACTGAACACTCATATTTCCAAATGGTTCTCTTTTTTACAAAGCAATCGCATTTCTGCCTAATATACACTCCTGGAACAAAATATTGGCACAGCAAATTTTTCACAATATATGCAACAATTCTCATTCTAATATTTTTCCGCTAATTTCGTATAAAAATATGGTTCATTCTAACGGGTGATTTTTTTGAGGTTAGGATTTTCATGCATTAGTATTTGACAGATCACGTGGGATTTCAGACATGGTGTCAAAGAGAAAGATGCTCAGTATGCTTTNTCATTCTAATATTTTTCCGCTAATTTCGTATAAAAATATGGTTCATTCTACAACAAAAAACATAAAAATTTAATTCCTAAACTCCTTGCAAAACTCGCGAAAATTCAGCAAATTTTCATGAAAATTTTCAACTTTTTAATCAGATTTTTTTTAGTACGCAGATTTGTAGCCCAATCAATTTTATTATAATAAAGTGCAAGCTTTAAGTAGCTAGGAATTACCATTGATTTTTGGCAATTTTTTCCCCGCAGTCTTTTCCATACAAAATTTTTTTTCGAAAATACATTATATGGAAAAAATGCAAACCACCTTCAACAAAAAAAATTCTCAGAAATCAACGCGATTTTTGACTAACTCCGAACTTCCATTTTTTTACTAGAATTTAACGGGCTGCAAAACTGCATACTCGAAAAATTTCTAAAAAATCTGATCAAAAAGTCACAAATTTTGATGAAAATTTGCTGAATTTTCGCGGGTTTTGCACAAAGTTTAAGAATTATATTTTTATATTTTTTAGGGAGTNTTTGACTAACTCCGAACTTCCATTTTTTTTACTAGAATTTAACGGGCTGCAAAACTGCATACTCGAAAAATTTCTAAAAAATCTGATCAAAAAGTCACAAATTTTGATGAAAATTTGCTGAATTTTCGCGGGTTTTGCACAAAGTTTAAGAATTATATTTTTATATTTTTTAGGGAGTGTCTATTTACACGCGCCACGGTAACTTTTACCGTGGATCCACGGTAAAAATTACCGTGGATCTACGGTAAAATTACCGTGGATCTACGGTAAAAATTACCGTGGATCCACGGTAAAAATTGCCGTGTATCTACGGTAAAATTACCGTGTATCTACGGTAAAAATTACCGTGGATCTACGGTAAAAATTTCCGTGTATCTACGGTAAAAACTTCCGTGGATCTACGGTAAAAGTTACCGTGGCGCGTGTAAATAGACACTCCCAAAAATTTAATTAAATAAAAATGAATGCACATATATGTACATATGTATGTAAAAAAATTACCGTGTATCAACGGTAAAAATTACCGTGTATCCAAGGTAAAAAAATTACCGTAGAACCACGGTAAAAATTTACTGTGGATCCACGGCAATTTCTGAAGATTTTTGCTTGACGAAGAAGATGTTTGATTTCCGAAGTGCGCGAAGAACCACCTTTTTAATGTAGATGTGTGTAGATGTGTTATAACAAGGCACAGACCTCTGTCTACTTTAACTGAGCCAACCCAGAACCCAGAGATACCGATCGATTTAACTCGCCAATTCCCGAATAGCAGCACTGATTCAGCTCATAACCGTTTGCCGGAAAAGGTCGTCCTGGAAGAAGAAAATCCCAAAACCCCACCTTCCGCTGCTGACCACAAAGAAACGCCTTTGGTGATGCCATCTTTACAGCTTCAAACTTGTAGCAAGATTAACGAGGCGACAATTGAAACTCTTTTTGGAATAAAAGATGTTTGTAAAGTCGGAAAGCCTAGAGGAGCCCCCAAAGGCCGAAGAACCACAGTGGCTGGGATACCGCTCCCAAAGGAAGAAGGGAACAAACGATTACTACAACAGCATCAACGCGCTGGAGGCAGAGAGGTGGCTAGAGGTCAACGAGCGTCCAGGGGTAGAAGTCGTGGGGCAACTCAAAGTTGGGGCCCAAAAAAATTGGACGACGACAAAGTTGGTGGAGTAGCCTTTGATACAAAAAATAATGACACCAAACTTGAGATGATGCTGAAATGGCTACTGATGTCAAATTATGTGAAAGGACGAGATTTCACGTCTTCAAAAATCAAAAGCAGCGAAATCGACACTGCCAATTTGAACGATTCTTTCATTGATACCCGAGGCGATCATCTAAAACTTTTAATGCCGTGCATGGAGAAAGATACATTTGAAACATTTTTGGTTGCTCTTGGAATGAAAAGAGCTAAAGATGATTACAAATGTGCTGTATGTGGAGGAAAACATCATCAGTCGTGTAAAAATGTTATACGTTGTGACGGATGTTACCTATGGCATCATTGGTTGTGTGTGGAGATAAAGAGGAAGCCGGTTGGCGATTGGTTCTGTGCCTTGTGCTCTATGGAAAAATAGGAAAATACAGCAACAACGCGCAGTAGTTACTTATCGACAGTAAGATATCATGGTATGTTTAATCATACACAAAATAATTTAATCATACGGAAAATAATCATTATTTGTTAAATTTTAACCAGAAAATCAAAAGTTGTAATCGTCGTTTATCTATACTGACGTATTTCTGTTCGTACCTTCTACTGTAATTTACGATGATCTTTATTTTTCGAGTTAACCAATAAAGATTAAAGATAATAATTAATATTCGAATGTCATTTTTTCGCTCAAAGGTTATTATTATTGCACGATTTTTATCAACTAATTAACGAATTGATTTTTGAATGAATGGCAGTAACTTAGGTATTTACATACATCTATCGTGATACATCTATATGAGAAATTAGGATTGTTCATTCACGTTGGAAAAATAGATAACCTCGGGTCCACACTAATTTTTGTCGTAGATCTACTGTTAAAAAATACAGTTATTCGCACGCTTCGAAAATCACTGTGAATCCACGGTAATTTTTTTCCGCGGATTCGCGGTAAATACACCGTGGATCGACGGTAATTTTTACCGTAGATCCACGACAATTTTTACCGTGGATCCACGGTATTTTTTACCGTGGATACACGGTAAAAATTGTCGTGGATCTACGGTAAAAATTACCGTGTATCTACGGTAAAATTACCGTGGATCTACGGTAAAAATTANTACCGTGGATCCACGGTAAAAATTGTCGTGGATCTACGGTAAAATTTACCGTGGCGCGTGTGTGTAGACACTGCCTATTTTTTATTGTTGAATGAACCATATTCTTATACAAAATTGGCGGAAAATATTAGAATAAAAATTGTTGCATATATTGTGGAAAATTTGCTGTGCCAATACTTTGTTCCGGCAGTGTATATCAGGACGAATGGATAAGGATTGAGCCAAGAGTATGTTTGAGCAAATCCAATTTTTGGCAGCAAATGTAAGTTACGCAGTTTTGCAGAATGACGTTACGCGGTTTTACACTTAAAACGACGATATGTAGAGTAAGATCGCAAGAGCATTCTATACATAAATGATTAGAGTCTCTAGAGCTATCAGATATCGCTCTTTAATTTTGGTACGAAATCAATAACAATGTTAATTGGATTAAGCTATCATCGAAATGAAGTGGTACATACTAATACTGGAATAATAATAAATTTCCATTTTTAGTAAAAGTACTAATTCCAATTGTGCCGCTTTTAACACTTTCACTTACGCCCGATGCTTAGTGAATCCCATTTGTAACAACGTCTGCAACGGTGTTAGGTGTTGCTTTGATATTCTAGTTGGTGTGGGGTTCTTCCGCGGTGGGAGCTGTGCCATCGCTTACGCTGAGCCTGTCCCAAAGCCAGATTACCCACCAAAAAACTAGCGCACCAAAATAAAACACTCAACGCACGTAGTCACGCACGCAAACAATTCAATTTTTGTCCAACATTTTAAAACTTTAATTCCAAAGGAAAGTAGGACCCACGTCCGACACAAATCTTTGTATTCACTAGCAAAAATGGAATTGCCATTTTGATGAAAATTTAATACAATTTCAATGACAGATGGCTCTGCCAACCAACATAATAGTTGCGTTCCTTCCCACCATGCAAAACATGAGAAATAGGCAACAATCGTCAATGGCAACAAATTGGCGACTCACCGATTTATTGCTGTGGTGACAAATCGGCAACATCACTTCGTTCATGTCAATTTTGAATAAAAAAGTTCTCAAAAATTCTGAAACTTATGAATATGGCGTCAATAGTATTGGCCAAAAGCATCTAAATTATGCCCAAGGACAAGATTGAAAAAATAGGAAGTCTCACAACGAGAAAATGAATTAATTCCGATTGTAACAGGTCTATTATGCGCGTTACCGAAGATTTTGTAACCGGGAAATTTTATTATCAAAAAATGTTACCAGTTCTTGTCACCGCGATTCTAGGAACGTTGGTAATGCAGTTAAAATATTCAGCGATTCAGCTATGAAGAATTGTGCAAATTCTGGCATTGCATATTTCACGGGGCAATACTTTGTTACCAGCTTATGAGATGGTAACAAAATTTACCGGTTACAAGAGTACACAGAATGCGAAAAGGGTTTAAAAATTGACAGGAACTTTATTTACCGGTTACAAACTTTTTATTATCAGCGCAGAATAGACCTGTAAGTTGCAATTTGGTATACTAAAAAATAAATGAATTATTAAAGAGAATAAAATTATTCCAAATATCGCCTGAAGCGATAAGAAAAGGACTCATTCAGGTAATAAGAAAACGACTCACCCAGGCGAGTTGCCTTCGGCGGACGTTTTAGAGCGACCGGTAATAGGAAATCGATTCGATGGCAATATTACCGGCAATAAATCCGAGGGCGACACGTTTTCTTATTGCCGGCAACACAAATTGTTTGGTGGGTTATCTCCCAGTAGAGATGTATCGATACGAGTAAATCCAAGTACATACTCGATACTTTTCTCAATTGCCAAATATTTTTGTGCTCCATACTTTTTACTGCGATCCAAGTAGGTATCGAAAAAAAAGTACATACCAAAAGTGAAAAGTGAACCGGTTCGGGGAAAATTAATCTCATGATAAGGCTCAATCAGATTCATTTGGAACAAGTGCAGTACACGTACATTTCTCAAAAAATATAAATAGTGGCCTCTATAACGGAATTCATACAGATTACAACAACACATTTTTGTGTTGGTGGAAACAAAAAATGTAAGTTTTATTTAAGGTCAAAAAGTAAAAAAATTGACTTTTTCAACTTAAATATCTGATATGATATTTCAAAGATTTTTATGTCGTTAGAAAGGTAATAAAAGTACCTATCTTTTGACGTATAATCATGTTATTCTTTATTGATAAAATTAGGCTTATAACCCTCACGAAGTAGAATTCTCCTTTCTGTGTTGCCAAAGAAGAGGGGCTGAACACCTTTTGCAGAGAACACCTTTCTGCGTAGGCGGACTTCGGCCACACTTAGACTGCTTTTACACAGTTCAAGTATTGAATTCAATTCTGCTCGCATGTGGAAGAGAGGGGTTGAGATGAAAAGGGACGAGTACGCATGCGTCTGTACCGTCAATTCGTTTCAACTTTCTTGCTTTGCTTTTGGCATTTTCGTTGCTTCCCATTTAAAGAACCAAAAACTTGAATTCAACAGAATTGAAACGTGTAAAAGCAAATAGAAAACACAAAAGAGAATGAGCAAGAATTGCTTTCAAGTACTTGAATCATGTAAATCGGGTGTTAGGGATTATAACCCTCTCGAAGTAGAATTCTGCTTTCTGTGTTGCCGAACAAGAGGGGATGAACACCTTTTGCAGAGAACACCTTTCTGTGTAGGCGACCTTCGGCCACACTTAGGGATTATAATCCTCAGGAAGTAGAATTTTCCTTTCTGTGTTGCCGAAGAAGTGTGGCTGAACACCATTTGCAGAGTGCATCTTACACAGTATACATTACGAGGTAAATATATACAATAGTAATACACTTTTAATCACTTAAAATAAGTAAAATGTAAATGTTTTAATGCAAATATATAAATCTCATGAAACCTTATTCTCTTTTATGTAATTAACTAATTTTTTATGTTGTCAGTAACGTTATTTAATAACAAAAATCATTTTGTTATTAATTTTGTCATGTTTTTTTTTTATAAAAACTAATTTTTCTCATAAGCCTTACACAAAAAGTAAAACATATGTATACAAAAAAAAAAAGATATTTTTAATAACTTTCAAACGACATCAAAATATTTTAAATTAATACAGTAGTTTTTTAGTTATTCCATTTAAAAGAAATTCAAAACTTGATTTTTCGACCTTCAATAACACCAGAAACTATTATTTCCACCTCAAAAAAAAAAAAACTTTATAATGAGGACTAAGACCCCTATCGATTCCAATATACATTTTTTTAATCAGAAAAATGTACGTATTCTGCATTTATACCGAACATTTTTTCGTGCGAAACTTACACTACGCTTAGAATAATATAATAGCTCGGACCCAGTACTCCATGAACTTACAGGATTTTACACGAACTTGCAGGAAGTTGCAGGAAAAATGTTCCCGTACTCCAAAATCCTGTAAATGAGAGCGACTTTTGGAGAGTTGTGTAGAGAATGAAGTTGCAAGATTTTACCCGAACATTTTCTTCTGGTAAAATCATGAAAAGTGTCAAGCAATCACTGGTGGACGTTTTTACAGAAAAAATGTTTTTTTTTTGTTCCCGTACTTTTTATTGTTACTTACTTTTTACTCTCACTTCAGAGAGTAATTTTGCTGTTTGACAGTTTTACAGGATTTTTCACGAAAAGTATTGGATCAGAGCTAATATAATAGATTGGCGCTTACACATATGTTAGTGTTTGGCCGAACTCCTCCTCCGACTTGTGTCGTGCGCGTTTTACGCCGACTCCCAACGGCGATTGTTTTTTATGAGAAGCTGTTTTTCATGGCGCTGATGAGTGAAAGCGCGCACTGCTTACCACTACACCACAGCGGCCATATACTACTAGCCAGGGCGTTGAGCTTGTCAATACACTCAATAACCAGAGAGGATTTAATGATGAGAGTGCCTTGAGTGCTGCCTGGCTGTCGCTCATGATGAAAATACTTTCATTACGATAGTTCCTACGCAGTTTAATCTCTGCACACAGACTAATGGCATAGACTTCCGCTTGAAAGATACTTGGGTATACGCCCATGAGTACCGAAAGCTTTAGCCTTGGTCCGTGGACCACCGTCGGGAGTTTTAGAGCCGTCTGTATGCCATTGCATTGAGCTCGCTTTTATCTGCCTCTTCATAAGAGAGGTGCTCCAAGTCAACTTGGTGCAAAGCACTATTTTGAATTTCCTGTCAAAGTTAACTAGTTTGGGCCTGTCATCTGTGGGGAGCAGAGCTAATGGAATTTGGAAGCCTAGCTTGTCTCTGTTCCTCGATGGTAGGATTTTACTTCTACCAAAGCCTTCTCTTGCGAAGTTTAATAGAGTTTGCTTTGCTGCCTATTCTATGGTAAGGTGCAGCGGCTTGAGCTCGAGAATCACCTCCAGCGCCGCCGTCGGGCATGTGCGCATTGCCCCCGTGATCCATACACACGCCAGACGTTTAAGCTTAGTGAGTTGCAACGAAGGTTCTCGAGACCCACGCTACTGCCCCATAAGTAACTATTGGTCTAACTATCATGGTATACATCCATCTCAGGATCTTGGGACTACAGCCCCAACACTTCGGAGGCGACGGCCCATACTCAAGCACCAGCCTCTTGCTATGTTTAGTCCCCTTTGAACTATATCACATATAGTGCTCACGAACTTCCCTCTGGCAATAATCACAATGACATCCGCCTACCCTTGACAGCGGATACCATTGTCAGTGAAAGTCCGTAGAAGTTCGTCTTCAACTAAGCTCCGCAGAAGCGGGGATAAAACTCCTCCCTGTGGGCAACCTCTGGTAGTTTGTAGCTGTACCACGCCGTCCCTTGATGTCGGTTTCCGATATCCTTGTATTGAGAAACCTGACCATTCGCCTGCGGATAGTTGCCTGCACATTACGTTTTTCAAGCGCCCGGTCGACACTACCGTGAGGTGTGGTCAAACGCCCCTCAATGTCGATGAAGGCACAGAGTACTGTCTCCCCACACTCAATAGCACCTTGTATTTCCGTGGACAGGGCGTATAGTGCAGTGTCCGTGGACCTGCCTACTCTCAGGGTGTAAAGGCGCCACATTAAAGGTATCCACATATCTACGCGATTCTGTCGCAACGAATCCGCACCGTTTTTGATGCTACAGACGTTAATACTTCGAAAACGTAAGTACGCACACATCTGTGCGATTTTATCGCAGTAAAAACTGTCAATTTAAAGACAAACAAAAAATATTTTTCAACAAAAATAAAGTTCTTAACTTTTCTACATCAAATCTGTTTTGTTTTCTTACGTTCAATTTTGTTTTATTATTGTAAAATCCTTCCATTGACCTTTTTCGTTCTCAAAACGCGGCAGTCTGCGATTTCGGCACGACGGAAAGAAGAACTGTACATGTTCGAATAAATCGCTGCAACAAAATCGTATACGTGTGTGGTTCCTCATTTAAAACTATGGTCGGCATTGTTGTAATTTTTGTCGGAACAGATTCGCACCGACAGAATCGCATAGGTGTGTGCATACCTTAAGAACGTTGCTCCTGATTCCATGGTCGATGACCTTCGCCATTGCTTTTAGCAAAAAAGAGGTTAGACTTATCGGCCTGAAGGACTTGGCGAGAGAGTAATCTCTCTTACCTATCTTCGGAATAAATATAACCCGAGCCCTCTGCCACACCACGGGGAACCACTGGCGGTGCAACTCCCTACCTTGCTTCAGCAGCACTGGACTGATGCCGTCCAGCTCGGGGGATTTGTACCGATCAAAGGAGTCCAAAGCCCAGCATACCGATCGGTGGGTGAATAGACTTCTAGCTAGCTTCCAGTCTGCTGGGGATGGCCTAGTCCGTTGTCATGGTATCTCGCCCGAGGTCGGAGTGGCATCCGGGAAGTGTGCCGAGAGTAGGGCAAGCGCCCCCTCGTTT